TAAACCTAATTGAAAGATTTACGCCGACACTTCAGCTTGTGTGTGTGTGTGTGTTTGCGTGCGCGCGAGTGTGTGTCGGCGCTTGTTGCGTAGGTGTAGTAATCTCACCCGCGTTCACGGCTGCACACACACATACACACACACAACCAGCACCTCGACAGCGGTACCCTGGCTGCCGTCGAAGGGCGAAGCAGGAGTGGGCGCAGCCTACGACCACCCGACTGGCTCGGGTAACAAGTAATCAATTATGAAGATGAATGGTGTGTGTGCGGGGGGCGCTGTGTGGGAAATCCGGGTGTTTGGGGAAGACCAGACAGAGACAGAGAGAGAAGCAAGGGGAAGAGCCGATAGGTGCGCCCTACCGTTTGGAAGTTGACCCTTGCAAAGTAGAAGTACTTGTAGTCATCCAGAAGGACCTCAGCCAAACGAAGGAGGTTGTGACGCAGCGGATTGGAGGTGTTCACACGCCAGGAGTAGGGAGAGCGTGCGCGGAAGATGTGGCCCACGTGGCTGCAAGGAATGGTCTCCAGTGTACCGCCACACATCCAGGTCTGCAAGGCGGGGGGGAGAAGATAGAGAGAACAAGTAAAGCCCCCACACGCAGGACGTAACATAAATGGATTGGCAAGAGAGAGAGTGCCGTGGAAATAATAGCTGCACCAAATAAGTGAGTTAAACATTAGAATGGTCTCCAGTTGGCCACCAAACATCCACTTCTGCATATACTGATGAGCAGGAGAAGTAGGTGACGACGAGAACAGCATATCGTGAATATACTCAAGAGAGAGAGAGGGAGAGACAGCGGACGGTTAGGATGATAGATGCACCAAATGAGTGGGCTAAACTTTCGAACTGTTCCTTGAATAGACTGTAAAAAGAGGAGGTAAGTGGATGTTTATTAACGAAACACCCTAACAGAGGAACAGATTCTAACGCTGGAAGAGAACAGTAATTGGCCTGGTTTATCGGATTCTCTCTCAAACCCATCAGCAGAGACAGAGCACTTTTTCGAGGACAATCCTGTCAATGACGTTTTGTTTCAATTCATTGTTGTGGAGTTCCAGTCTCCTCGACGATAGGACTTCATGTCTGAGTAAGTCTACCCTTGTGACCCAAGCTATCATATGCATAACAAAGAACACCCGAGACTTCACTACTTGGGTAAATGCCTTCAAGGACGGCCTCATTGTAAAGGTGTTGATAGACGCAAACCGCAGATCCAATCAACTAGCACAGTTCGGTTTATTTGAGGGAAATGTGGGTCTGTACTTTTGAACTCCCTATTCGTTTAAATGCACGTTGTGATATTAAAAATTGTTAAATATATCATTAAATACAAGGGAATGTGAAAAATCTGTCCAGATAAACGAAACGCTATAGTCCCATAAAACCTTAGAGCGAAAGCACAAACTTGTGCAATTGTTACTTCAGGAGTAATACCTAAGCTTATTGGCGATGTTAAATAACGCCAATGAGTGAGGTGAAACAAAAGCAAAAAGGAGCAGAGAATTTGAAAACGATCTCCTTGGGCATTTTTCGGAAGCTATGGAAGTTTGAATGGGATCTGTGGACGTTTTAGGAGAAAAAAACTGGGAGGATAATATACGCGAGATAGAACTCTCATGCTGATGGGACTGTGTGGGGGTGCGAAACGCTCCGCTCGTAGGAGAAATCATGTGACAGCTAGAATTTACTTGAAACAATCGAAAGCCGAAGAGTATTCACTAACTTTTTAAGGACACCCTGGAGCTCAGTGATGCCCTTGGCACACAGAAAACGGCATGCTTGCGACTGCATATGTAAATTCCATTCTCAAGAGTTACTCACTGTC